GGTGGAAAGCTTTTGGGTCATGAGGCGAACAACCCTATTGATTTTAAGCATTGCACGACTTTCTGTTCCGGAGTTATCCTCTCTTTTATGTACAACCTTGTGAATACTATAGATTCTATTGTAGGCCTACTGAAAGTTTGAAACAGATTCTTTTCAAATTTTGTGTGAAGCATTGTGGCAATAGAGGATGAACTAGGGCCGTAACTGGCACAGAGCAATGAGCGGAACGCGAAGTGTTCTCAGGGGTGCAGTAAATTTGACGGACAATGTATATCTATGGTCGACAATTTTTTCACTTTTTGCCCCACCCCACCCCTGCACCAAGTTACGGGCCAGTATTCAACATTCAACACTTTGCCTTGGTCAACTTCCCAGTTTTCCTTTCTAATTGGATATCGTGGCTATCAAAAAATTGCTGCTGTGTGGCTATCTGTATTCTTTATAGGCCTACACAGTGATCATGGGCAATAACAGACGAATGAGAGCGACGATAATTTTTCAATGTGGGTGTATAAAAACTGTATTTCTAGTAATTTAAATGAAACTTTTTTTTTTTTTACTTAGATAAATAGATACGCTTATTCTGGTGGTGGAGCAACTCTTGAAGAACATAGGAATAAAGGAGGTGACCTTGATACCGATGTATCATACCAATATTTACATTTCTTTTTAGAAGATGACGCTAAATTAGACAGACTTGGAAAGGTAAAGAAAACTATGGTTAAATTATGTTTAATCATTATGGTATTTCCCTCGGGTACTGGATAAAATCGTTAGTATCATACCTTAATCAGTGGTATGACTTCTTGTTCAAATAGGAGCCGCAGTGACTCAATGATTAAGGTGTCGGCTCACTAACCTGGAGTTTTCGGGTTCGATCGTGTTTGCTAAGAAGGTTCCTACTGACTTTTCGGAGTGGTTTCCCCTTGTCAGTGCAGGACATAGGAGCCTGGCAAGGAACAGTGTGTACGTGTTAGAGTGCACGTAAAAGAACCCTTGGCGTGACTTTTCTTGTTCAAATAACTGACTACTAGTCCTTTCATTAAACCTTTTTTACATGATCAAGTATTAAATGACATGAGAACATGACCATAACAAAAGATGTTTTTATTTTCTTACTTGACAGGAATATAAGGCAGGAAGTTTAACAACTGGTGACTTAAAGAAAGAAGCAACTGCAGTTCTACAGAAAATTATTTGTGATCACCAAGCAGAGCGTGAAATGGTCACAGATGAAATCGTAAAGCAATATATGACACCTCGTCGTTTAAATTATAAATACTAAATTATTTCAGTTCAGAACTTTTGCTTACAATTCATTTCAAGTTGTGTTGTATAAAAAAATATTTCGTGTAGGCCTAATGCTCTGTAAAATTGATAATGTTGTGTGTGTGTGTGTGTTGTGTGGGTGTGTGTGGGTGTGTGTGTGTGAGAGAGAGAGAGAGAGAGAGAGAGAGATATGGGGTTTAATGCCCACTCTACACAAACTAGGTCATTGCGGGATTATGATAATGTTGTGTTATGTTGTTTAAAAAAAACTTTCAGAAATACCGTATGAAGAAAAAGAATATTCTGTACAATTCATTAAAGGGACAATAACACTCTTGCTGGCTTGAAAGCTCCAGAAAATAAATAATATCTCTATCTAAGTACTAGATGTTTAAGTGTCCTACCTGTTGTGTAAATTATCCATTACATCCTATTTTACTTGTGCAGAGGGTTCGAAAATATTTTTAAATCGAAGTTTCATTTGAAAAGGTTTACGTTAGACGTTTCAAACCATTATGTTGAATTTTTCAAAAATTTTAAATAAGGTGTGTTAAGATGGAATTTGTATCATCAATTAATTGAAATATTCTAAAATAGTACAATTTGTTGACCAGAATAAAGATTGGGACATATTATTCAGTTACAACAAGAGTGGTATTGAGCCTTTAAAGGAGCATTAGCTAAGATTAGAAAAAGAGCTGACATTATTAGTTATAATAGTTAAAAATGGATAATGAAAACAGAATATGCTGAAATTTTCAAAATAATAGCTTCACTCTGAACCAAGACATTAGCGATTCAGTTTTCGGCTAGCCTCGATCATCATTACTAACGTTGGTATTATAATAAACAAAGTTTCGATTATCCATTTTTACCTTAAATTATCCATGACAAAATGTATTCATATCCAATAAATATCTCAGGCTAATGATGGCATTGAGAGTTGATCATGGACTTGATAAGTTAATTGATGTCTAATTAATAATTTAGATAACATTTAAAGAAAGGCCTACAATAGACAGATTTAGCTTTTGCATAATGTAGCCTATTTTTAATGTTGAGCCATTTTATTTTGTGCATTGTTCTGTAAATTTAATAAGAATCTCATCAATTTATTTATTAAACCTCACCTATTAAATTATAAATATTAGAAAACTTCACCAACATTTTGCTTAGAATTTACTTCAAGTTATGTTGTTTAAACTATTTCTAAAAAAACATCTGAACAAAAAAAGATATATTTTGTGACTTGATCTGTAAAATTTCTGTACATAGATTTGAAGTATTTAGATATAGTTTGTCTGTTTTCAGAATATATTTAATGGTTATATTACAACAAGGTTACAACAAGGTAAAAAAAAATGGAGAAGATTGTTAAAACACAAAATATCTGTAAGGAAATTTAAAAGGAGGTGGGGTGGGGTTCATATAATTTGAATAAATTAATCAAAGTAAGGTCATGTATTTAGCCAATATATATATGCACACTTCTGAACAAAATATTTTATTAAAGGCCCTGCCCGGTTTTATCTTAGCCTTGATTGTCAAAAAAATGCTAAATGGTAGATAACTTCAGATTGTTCTGCCTTGTGACCTAATGAACAATTGTTTTGAGTTTGATCAAACTTGATATCTGGCTATGTTCTTCTAATTTTCAGCAGTCAGTGTGTGCAAAAATCTTATGATCTGCATATACAAGATATTTATAGAAATTTAAACTTCAAATTGTTTTAAGATATATATATAAGGCCCTACCCAAAAAAATATTTTTCTTCTCTGACAATCCTCCTAACAAAATCTAATGTGGGAGGGAAGTTTTTATTTTATCAATGGATCACTACAAGGCAAATGACTTCTCCAGTTTTATTTATGATTTATTAGGGTTGCATACTTGATAACTGAGTCTATGGTACACTTCAAACTATTTTATAGAGTTGCTTCCTGTAACCTGGGAAAATTTTTACATTAGGTGATTAATGAGATTAATTTTATATTTTGAAAAAAAACCCCCTCATTAGCATGTTTTAATATGAATCAAGTAATATTGTATTAACTTACCTTGAACTACTTTATTTAGCTGCATTAAAATTCTGAGTTTTCTTGTGATAAACAACACTGCCCTTCAGTTCAAAGGTTGTTATTCTATTCAAAGATGTTAAAGATACATTATGTAAGATTTAGATAAAGAATTAGCCATTCTTGCTATAATAGTTCGAAAGTAGATGATGTAATAATTTCAACCACCGTACTGGTTGATCGAAGCTAAGTCTCGGTCCTCTATATTTGATTAAATCAAAGTATCGCTGAACCATTCTAATCTATTTAATATCGGAGAAATCTGATGCCATCGAGAGTTGATTAAGGCCTGGATCAGTTAATTAATGTCTAATTAATACATTAGAAAACATTTCAGACCTAAAGAAAGACCTGCAATAGGCAGATTTAGCTCTTGCATAATGCATGTTTAACTTACTTATTCCTGTTTCATTTTATCGGGGGGGGGGGGGGGGTATAGTTTTCTGGAAGGTGCAGCGATAATGATCCCGTTTTGGCTATATTTACTGTGTAATTCCTTTAAAACTATGAATTTTGGTGATTTAGAAACAAAAATAAGTGATATTTTATGCAGGTTATGCCATGGTGACTTGTTTACATCTGCCAGGCAGGATACGCCCACATTTTCGAGATGGATAGAGAACAAGCTAACAAGAAAGTGATTTTTCCTACAATCAAGGGCCATAATTCAGGAAATTACAATTCGATATGCGCGAATATCGAAAGGAACTGAGATCTTTGTGTTATAAACTTACATTTCAAGTTTCAACAAAAAAGGATAAAAATTGTGACCTCTATAGGGTCCACAACCTTGATATACCATATTTTTACGCTATTTGAGAACGAACGGCGGCCATTTTGTCTGTCAATTTTGGGCCGATATTCACGAAATACGAACTCAGTCGTCCTAAGGGTGTAACGGTAATATAATAATACGTTTTTTTTTAAATCGGATAAAAATTATGACCTCTATAGGGTCCACAAGCTAAAAACGCGATTTTTCGTACAATCAGGAGCCATAATTCAGGAAGTTACAGTCCGATATGCGCGAATATCGAAAGGAACAGAGATCTTTGGGTTATAAACTTACATTTCAAGTTTCAACAAAATTGGATAAAAATTGTGACCCCTATAGGGTCCACAACCTTGATATACCATATTCTTACGCTATTTGGGAAAGAACGGCGGCCATTTTGTCTGTCAATTTTGGGCCGATTTTCACGAAATTCGAACTCAGTCATCCTTAGGGTGTAACGGTGATATAATAGAATGTTTTTTTAAATCGGATAAAAATTATGACTTCTATAGGGTCCACAAGCTAAAAACGTGATTTTTCATACAATCAGGGGCCATAAATCAGGAAGTTACGGTCCGATATGCACGAATATCGAAAGGAACCGAGATCTTTGGGTTATAAACTTACATTTCAAGTTTCAACAAAATCGGATAAAAATTGTGACCTCTATATGGTCCACAAGCTAAAAACGTGATTTTTCGTACAAACAGGGGCCATAATCCATGAAGTTTCGATCCGATACATGCCAATATCGAAAGCAGCCGAGATTTTTTTGGGTTAAAGCTTTATTTCAAGTTTCGTCAAAATCTGACAAGAACTGTGACCTGTAGAGAGTCCACAAACAAATTGTGGACGGACGTCCGGACGGACAGGGGCGACGACAATATACGTCCACATGAAAATGTGGGCGTATAAAAATATTATTGACTATTTTTATCCAAAGGACAAACATCAAGTTAAGTGAAAAATCAGATTCTGTGAAACACAAAAATATCTACAAATTCTCCATATATTTTAAAGTTTTAATTCTAAAATATTAAATATGACAAATATATAATTCCCGTTACCTAGACAACACTTAAAAACACAAAAATTCAGGTTGATCAACAACACCTTACAAAAGACAAGATTTGGCCAATCTTAGCTTGCAAACATACTGAAACAAGTCAGGATTTCAATGGAAATAAATAAAACACCATTCAACACAAAATATGTCATTTCTGACTTACGACATCAATAATAGTTTGGTGTGCAGGGGTCCAAGGACTATGCATTTATGTGCATTTTTTTTTGCAAAATATCAATGTTTTTAAGGCTTAATTCATGCTAATACATGTACATGTATGTAGCCAGATTGATTATTTAATTAAGAAAACAAAATCAAAATACAAAGGCTAGACAATGTCCCTACTTGATTCTGTCGGATTTAAACTATGGCCTATGAGGGTGGGTGGCGTCTTACTTCTTATTACATAGAGATCAATATAGATCGATCGATGGAATTTTTAATTCGTCATATCTTTAGAATTTAACCAATTTTGAACTGATATTCTTATTAGAGTTTCAACTTTCACGTAGTTTGCAAGGGAATCCATAGTGCTAAAATCATGCATACTAGAGTCTTTAACTCAGTGATCGACCTTAGGATCTAAAGCGCATGCATTTGATTCCCCTCCCTCCCCTCAATTACCAAGAGAATTAGTAAAGTCATTGACCTAAGAAGGTTAAATATATTTAAATTTATCTCAATATCTAAAAGCAATCAAAGCCTTGCCATATGTTACATGGAGGATGCCATACTCCATACTAAATTCTCATAGACATCATCAAAAATGAATCAAGCTTGAACTGGGAGGCTGTCCACTTTTGTTAGAAAATAGAAATACAGGTGGACCATTTCTTTCAAAACAATAAAAATTTCTAATCCATAATTATAAAAATTTCCAGGCAACACAGATACATGTACATCAATTTTCTCCCATCACCAAAATGTTATTTTTCATAAACACAAACACTTTCTTTGAACAAATGGACGGCAAACACAAATAATCACAGCTTATACATGTAGATAATTAGGCATCTACCTGACACCCAAATCACTAACACAGAAACTTAAAATACTGTTTTCTAATGATAGGATAACAGAATTGAACACTAAAATTCACCTTTATAGCTCACGATAATCCAAAATTATCACACAGCTGATTTAACAAGCAGGACAAACATTACTGCAATTAAAGCCAGCTGAGCAGGGATCTATACTTAATGGCCGGTAGTTTTGTAATAAAATAGCTTTCTATGTATCATATAACATATCGATGATTAAGTCAATATAAACAGGAGCTTGAACATCAAAGCAAGATATATTGAAGTTTATATCATGGAATGTATGTCAAAATGGAAATAAATTCCAGGTAATAAGTTTCAAATACACCTTGACGATCAAAACGTGACAGGTATACCTGTATAATAAACAGGAACCTCTTTTACATCATCATCAAATTCTTCTTCCTCCTCTTCAACAACTTCATTATCGGCTGAGGTTTGTTCATTTTCGTTCACTGATGCGGATGATGCCTGGTGATCTGGTTGTTCAACGACTTCACTATGTAGAGAATAATCTTGAATTGTCTGATCCGTGTCATTGCCAGTCTCCATTTCGCATGAAGACATAACCACTTTGACTTGAGTTTGTTTTGGAAAACCTAAACTACTTCTAGTTGTAATAGATATTAAATCACTGTCACATGCTTCAGTCTCGTCAGTTTCTTCCATCAAATCACGTAAACAGAATTTAATGGCTTCCACTGTTGCCTTTAGAACTTTGTTTCCACTTAAAGACACTTTTTTTAGTCGAACTGCATAATTCTCTACCAAATTTAAGATAAGCTACAAAATAGAAAAAAAAAGTACATTTGAGACTGGCATCAGTGCTCATCATTCTCTGAAACTAAAAGGCTTTTTAACACTGAAATTTCTACATAATATTATTGATACACTATTCAGTTTTTTTACTTGAAATAGATAAAGCATTCAGTTTATTATTTAAAAGAGAACCAATCACTGGTTTATTCTAAAAGCACGACGTTTCGACAAGTATCCTCTTATCGTTATCAAGCACATATTTAGACTTCTGTACTTTGATTATGGTCTGATGCGTCCATGCTCTTAATCATAACTTACTTATATTTCCATAATTTGATTTAAAAAAAAGTACATCTTCATATTTTGAAAATAAACTTACTTTTGCAGTTTTCTGTGTCACTGCTGTACCTTCCATATCTATAACCTCTAGAGTACCACACCCGGCCACACCCACAATAATACATGCTGCTGTTTGATCTCCCAGTTTATTGTAGTCTAAATATAATGACCTATAAAAATATAAACATATATTCTCTAAATGATCTGAATAAAAACAATACAGCTGCTATATAAACTTGTATCTGTTTATAAAATAATTTGGTAGATGTATAATAAACATTATACGGTCATGAACTATGTTCCTTATGGCACATGATGATATCCCAAAAGCATTACCCTGTTTTAATATGTCAGCAGCATCCCCCCCCCCCCCCCGCAAATGTGTATAGCTGGTCCCTATACAGCATAATCATATTCCCTTAGTAATACCATAATATCCTAATAGCTACTTCTGGGCACTTATCCCACAATTACTGGATGCCAGAATAAATCAAACTGAACACTACAAGGGTTATTACAAAGCTGCTACATAGAGTAAGTCTGTTCATGTGTCTTCTATTATCTCTGTAAAAGATGACTACCTTCAAAACGTGACATCTCATCATGAGGCGTCAATCAATGGCTCAATGGCGCATGCATTGTTTTACATAAGACGTTACTGGTTCGGGCAGAATGGAGTCTTTTACTCATTTTAATACCCATTTACACAAAATAGGAAATAATTTTTACCTACAAATACGTCAAATGTCTCATACATAAACAAGCCAACAGTGAGGCTGATGTCCCCCGCCGAAATTGCAAAATAAATAGATGACACATATTAATTAATCGCACATTTATTTTTTTCACTTGGGTTTCATCACTCTCTATCAGATAGAATCAAGATTATCTTGTTCCAAACCATCGACAAATGAAATAGATTAGCTCTGCTTAGCTTCAGCTCAAAATGTTAATCATTCACCTAATGAACATCTACATCAAGTTTAAACATTCACCTAATAGTCACCTACGCCAAGTTTGAACATACTACCTCAATTAGAAGGAGAGTTATTGTGTTCCAAAGTCTCAACCAATCAAATTGCTTATCACTCTACTTACCCTCAGCAAAAAATGTTCATTATCGAACTTAGTCAAGGTATTGATATAATAAAGCTATACACCAAGTGCCCTCTCTTTCACATAATTAGAACTAAAGTTATCTTGTCCCAAAGCATTAAACAATCAAACTGCTTATCTCTGCTTACTCTAAGCAGAAAATTCTCATCTTCAAACTCCATCAAAGAATTCACCTAATTGACACCTACGCCAAGTGTGAACATTCTAACTCAATTAGAATGAGAGTTATTGTGTTCCAAAGTCTCGACCAATCAAATTGCTTGTCACTCTGCTTACCCTGAGCAGAGAATGCTCATTATCGAACTTAGTCAAGGAATTGATGTAATGAAACTATACACCAAGTTTCATCACTCTCACTTAATTAGAACTAAAGTTATCGTGTCCCAAAGCATCAACCAATCTAATTGCTTATCTCTGCTTACCCTAAGCAGAAAATGCTCATCTTCGAACTCCATTAAGGCATTGACCTAATAAACACCTACACCAAGTTTGAACAATCTAGCTCAATTAGAAAGAGTCTTATTGTGTTCCAAAGTCTGGTCCAATGAAATTGCTTATCGCTCTGCTTGCCCTGAGCAGAAAATGCTCATTGTTGAACTTAGTCAAGGTATTGATGTAATAAAACTATACACAAAGTTTCATCACTCTCACTTAATTAGAACTAAGTTATCGTATCCCAAATCATCAACCAATCAAATTGCTTATCTCTGCTTACCCTAACCAGAAAATGCTCATTGTCAAGCTCCATCAAGGCATTGACCTAATAAACACCTACACCAAGTTTGAACATTCTACCTCAATTACAAGGAGCGTTATTGTATTCCAAAGTCTCGGCCAATCAAATTGCTTATCGCTCTGCTTACCCTGAGCAGAAAATACTCATTATTAAACTTAGTCAAGGTATTGATACATCAAGTTTCATCACTCTCACTTAGCATCAACCAATCAAATTGCTTATCTCTGCTTACCCTAAGCCGAAAATGCTCATCGTCGAACTCCATCAAGGCATTGACCTAATAAACAGCTACACCAAGTTTGAACATTCTAGCTCAATTAGAAAGAGAGTTATTGTGTCCTAAAAAGTGTGACGGACAGACAGACAGACGGACGGACAGACAGACAGACGGACCCATTTTAATAGTCACCTGCTTTCTTCGAAAGGCGGGGGACAAAAAAATGTTTTAGAATTTAATTTGTCTGAGGAAAAAAGTTAATGCATCGATGTCATCCTTATCAGTGATTATCGCGGCCTAGCGAATATTCACTGCTGATCAGTGTGGGGAAAGATAACTAATCATAAACACCACTTTTCTATATTAATTGTAACAATGGTTAATGAACAGTTTGTATCCAGTGCCTCAGGAAAATGGTAAGGGGCAGAATGGATTTAATTGGATTGTCTCTCATGATCTGTTTCAATGATTCCATAAAACAGGAAGTTTTGGATAAAAGGCACAAATTCAGATTTAATATCAAATATTTTTTAATTTTTCAAAATTAAAAAAACCCTTTTTTTTTCAGACAAATTCTGAGTATGTAAAGCCTAGCTCACAATCCGCTGTACGTGTTTTGACACACACAGGTCGTAGGGATTGGTAGCTCGCAGACCAGCCGCGAGAAATTGTTTGAAAATTTTGAATTTGCAGGACCAATAGTCTCTACGGCCAATCTGAGATCTTCTACGGTCCTGAACACACGCAAGTGACGTGAAAGTCTTACGCACAAGTTTACTAAAAGTTTCCCTGCAAACTGCTTGTTGTAGCACGTATGGTGGCTTGTGAGCTAGGCTTAAGATAAGCTGCTAGTATCTAAAGTAATTAGAATTTGGATATTTACCTCAATGTAGATGTGGCTAAAGCTAGACTTAATTCAGCCCATCCTGTGGGAGTTATATCTGTATTAGCACTCATAGACAGATCAAGTAACCCTGGTAACAGAAAGATCTTAATTATCAACTCAATTTAATTACTAAAATGCTAAAAATAAAAACCCATTTAATGTTTGATATACATGTAGAGACAGCAGAGAACCTATTTGTGTAAATAGGTATTTATCAATCTAGCAAAACCATAACTGAGAAACATTCATTGAAAAAAATCTGGCTTTAGCGAAGAAGTATTTTTACTAATTTGACATGATAAAGTTATGTTCAAATTACAGTTTACATAAATTTGAAATTAAATGCTGGGGTTTAATACCTAGTTTTCACAACCAACCAGGCAAAGGTAGACAGGCAGTATGAATTAGGCCTGTCATGGGTTCTTGGACATGCCAACATATACATATGTACATATGTAGTTGTAGACAGGACATAATTTTTATTTGGACCATCTGATCGACTAGATTTCGTTTCCCCTGTCCTGCACCATTTTCAAGGGGAAAGCATGTTGAAAAATCCTGAGGGAATTTGGTAGGGTGACCATCTTTGACTGCCTCCAAATATCCATCCTACATGCATCAGTCTAACATTTGAAATAAAAATACCTGGCCATTCTTGATTTGGTGTTAAAAGTTGACAAAGATGAGGTATGGCAGCATCTCCAAATTGACAATCACCAACATCTAATGTGGCTAATCTGCCAGCATTTAAAATATTTTTACATAATATTTTTATGCCTTCATTGCCAATAATACTTCCATGGATACTGAAAATAAAAACCCACAAGAAATATGACATGAGAATAATAAAACCATAGTTTGCTCCGGGTTTTTATATCAAAAAGAAATGACAGGACGCATTCAAGAATTCAGCTAATTGGTTCTCAAATATAAATTGAATTTTGGGATTATTGCTTTACATTTGACAAATACATGTGACTGATTTTAAAATGAATCAATACACATTATCCCAACAATTTCAGCCAATCGTGTCTGTACTCTTTCATCTGAGGAGTAATTATATTTCGGGGATGATCCTATCAATATGTGATAGTGTTATAATCTGATATTAATGCCACCCAGTGGCGGATCCAGGTTCTGTCCTCCCCACCCTCACTGCTAAATAACAGTATAAAATATTAACTTATTATTCTGTTTCTGTGAGATGTGAGCTTTTTATTAGTTGCAGTATAGTGAGGTTGTAGCAGATGAAATTGAATGTTATAATTGGGACCAGATGTGCCACAAATGACTACTGATTGACACCATGATTTTTCAAAATTTCTCTCTGGTGACAACTCCCGGCCCAAACCAAATATACTACATCCGCCATTGATGACGTACACCTCGCCTTGGTATGTGATCCCAAATGAGTATTCACTGGTGTTTAATAGTAGGTTAATTGATAGCTAAGTTTTTCTTTTATCTAGTTCGAGTTACTCTATGTGTCTATGACTTGCCGTGTTTTTATTTTGCAAAATTGAAAAATTTTTCATATGTTATTTTAGCCAGGTGTGCCGCTAATTTTTCACGTGTTCTAAGGTGTGCCATTGGCAAAAAAATGTTGAGAACCACTGGATTAATTCAAGATTTATCACTTACAAAAGGCCAGTTATTGATTGATTTCTATTTATTGCTTGGGCTAAAAGTTGAACTCTAAATTCGCTATTAATGATTCCAATATTCAGGGCAAGCTGCAATAACGACTGACATTTGGCAACAGATCTCATTAATTTCTTAAAGTCTTTATCAGAAACTTCACAATCCCGCCATGATAGAATTTTTACAAGATTTTTGTCTAATAATGAACACATTGGTTTTATGTCATTTTCTGTGATTGTTTCACCGACGATCTGTATTGATTGTTGAGCCATATTAGCCGTTAAATACCGTTAGATAACACACTTCTATATGACTTAAATTACACAATGTGCACGTAAAATAACGTGGTTTGACTGTACAGTAATTAACGGTATCTACAACATAACAGTACCGCAGCACGAGCAGATTGTAGCGCCCTCACGTGGAACACGGAAGTTTCAAAGGATGCAGAGAACGGCTTCATTGGAAACCGCCAAAACAAGTGCGCGGAATTCAAAGTTATCTTAACTTATGTAATGTTAAGTATTTTGTAGTAACAATGGTGAAGAGTGGATAGATTTGAATTCTTGATTGTACTACTGTCAAACAGAAGCGGACAAGCTTGACAAAACCGATTTGCTAGCCAAGATGTCGACAAACAACACCGGAACCAAAATACCCCGTAAAACTCCGTTGAACCCACTGGCACTTGGCCCTGTCAAATCTACGAACACAACTGGCCGTCCCACTGCTCATTATGCCGAGCAAACCACAGCTCGTATGAACAAAACTAAACAGAGTCAGAAGAAAGATATTGTAAAATCACTGACTTTGAGAGGGTGAGAAAAAGTTTATACTTTTTATGTAGAGTACTACTAGTACTAGCTAAGACTACTAAGTAGTACTACTCACTAGTACTAGTAGGGTCTATCGAGTATATTTTCAGAAATTGACGTGTGATAATTTGTGCCTGACAATGTCTGTGGACAGGTGCTTTATGTACAGGGGGGCAGATCGTACTATGTTCAAAATACATGTATGCATTATTCGACATTTAGGAGAAATGCAAGATTTCATGGACCTTATATGGTGAGGGATGGATTAAATTAAGGAATTTGCCACTAGAAGTAAAAGCATCTAATTTACTAATCTAATTCAAAAGGACCTCAAGTTTTCTACCAGATTCGGTGTTTTCTTTAAGTTTTATTTTTGGAGATTTGGATAAAAAAAATCCTTGTTGGAGGCTGGCACCTCTGCTATAATCTGCTGTATGGAATGGAAATGGAGTCTATGGCTTAACCAGGAACATATTTATTCATTGTTTAAGTGGCATTTAGTAACTGGATGAGAATAACACATGACACAATTATATGGAATACAAGTTACTTGAAGAGTTTATTTCAGCGATGTTTCAACGAGAGTTCTCCTGTCTTAATTCTTTGCTTGATAAACTCTTCAAGTAACTTGTATTCCGTATAATTGTGTTCTATTTAGATTAATGTTTTTTTTTATTTCAGGTCAAAAGATTATGATGGAACCAATGCGAAAGATGAAAATGAAGCAATAAGAAAGAGTTTATTTAAATTAGAAGAGGATCATCTGAAAATGAAAGCTGTGCTGGAAGGAACTGTCAAAGATGCAGAAGTGAGTGAAAATGCTAAATTTGGCTATTATTAAGATTTGAAAAAAAACCCCCAGATTCGGACCATTTCTACATCTGGCTGGACATAAGCCAACTGCCACAGATTTTGATAAGTACAAATTATCACACAATGGGTATATATATATATATAGAAGCCTGTAATTAAGGCATCTGTCATAAACATTGTCAGACAAAAATTATTACACAACATAAGCTTATACATAATATATAAATTGTGTAATAATTTTTGTCTGACTATATCTGTGACAGATGCCTTATGCCCAGACTCACTGGTCGTATTCTGTTGAAAATATGTATTATAAGACAGAAACGTAAGATTTTGTGATTATTTGAAGGCCTAATGTGGAATCTAAACTGTAGGCCTAAACTAATTTAAATTGGTCAGTCATATGTCCGATTATTAAATTATATTTATATTTCCAGGAAAGATTGGAATATATGAAAGCTCTAGTAGAGAAAAGCACCAAACACCAAACTGGTATGTACAAAAGGGCAGGAATCCACATTACAAAACAGACCCTAATACAAACTGTATATATATATATATTTCAGACAGAAGTATAGTTATTGAAAAAAATAAATTTACCTGACGAAGAGATTTCTTTCATTAGAAAAATATATATTAACAAACTCATTTCATATAGGCATCATATAAAATTGTAGTGCTAGATTCTAATTGAGGTAATCATGCACAAAGAATAAATAAAATCAAAATGAAATTCGAGACTAGTTAGCTGAATGCACAATGAATGACAAAGGCTTTCTCTTGTGTAAATCACACAGTTTTGACTATTATCATATGTGACAGGGGCCATTTCAAAAGAATTGTATTCCGCAGGTAATGATCACTGGTATGGATCATCTGCTTTACTCACCGACAGAAGTGACTGGTATGCTTTATGCATAAGAACATGGGAACCGCGGTTGCTCAGTGAGTATGACACTCGCTTGGTAACCAGTAGCTCCAGATGTTTGCTGAGAAATAACATCAGGATTTGCCAGTCCGGTTTCACCTTGTCAGTGGTGCAGGATGGGGGCTATATTGCAAACTATTCTAAAAGGTCAAAGTGTTTGGAGGTGCTAAAAGTTATAACAATGACAGACAATATTGGGTAGTTCATTTGGTATAATAATCTTTATTTATATCTGTAACGTTAGTGGAGTGTGAATATTGTTATACTTTACAGAGGAAGGGACAGAACTCTGTCACAAGAATAAATCTCAGGAAGAACATGTGTAAGTAGAACTAGATTACATGTAGTATGAAATATATACATATGCCTGTTTCAATTAAAAACTACTTGACTAAACTTTTCTTTTATTGGTTACAATTTGATTAGCATATTTATTAAAGATACATTATTGGAGATTAGATAGAGAGCTGTCACTTCTCACTATAATAGTTAAAAACTCAATAATGTAAAGGGAATTTGCTGAAAATTTCAGTCAAATTGATCCACTCTTAACCAAGATTTTAGCTATTGAATTTTCGGGCTAGCCTCGATCATCATTACAAAAGTCAATACGATAAAAAACATAGTCTCAATTATCCATTTCATGATTAAATCATGAATTGAAGTCAAACAGCAAATCGGAACCTAATCCAATAAACATCGCAGGCTAGCGATAACATCAAGAGTTGATTATGGTCTGGATACGTTAATTAATGTCTAATTAATAATTTAGATAACATTTCAGGCCTAAAGAAGGACCTGCAATAGGCAGATTTAGCTCTTGCATAATGTATGTTTAAAATTGAGAGTTGATTATGGTCTGGATACGTTAATTAATGTCTAATTAATAATTTAGATAACATTTCAGGCCTAAAGAAAGACCTGCAATAGGGAGATTTAGCTCTTTCATAATGTATGTTTAATTCTAGGAAAAAAAGGAACATATCAAATTTAAATTCATTGTATAGATTTTATTTATTTTAGAGAGAAGGATGAAAAGAAACCTATTGAAAGCAGCATTAGCCCAGGTCAGTTGTATACTGGAATATATTACAATGATTAAATGTGTACTAGAAAACCCAGATGATCTCTTTTATTGATATATTAGAAACTTGCAGTTATTGGTAGTACATTGCCACTTGGTCTATTTCACTCCCTGGCTTAAACTGCACTTATACCCCAAATTTCGACCACAGAGCAGCCCTAGTAAGGCTACCAACTGAGACAGACATTTTAACGGCAGTCACTAGTAACAAATATATACACTATGATATGCCTGAATATAGCAATATTTTCCGCCAAACTTTGCAAAATCATATTGACCCCTTTATTGCTACTGCTCAGGAACATTTCAAATGGGGATCATACTTCAAAAATCCTGATGGATTTAATATAGAACACTGAATGTTCTAGTCATTGGTCCTCTGTCATTATTAATAAAATGGAGAATTAAATTTTCAGACATAAAATTGTTTTCATGGTTTACTTGAAAGTATAGATGGGATAATATATAATTTTGTACTGGGTATTGTAATGAGCCGTCATTTCTTTCTTGTAGTGACTTCAGAAAATATTGAACCTCAAGAACCAGAAGAAAATATTGAGAAACGACACACGATGTCAAAGGTACTGTACATGTATATTATTGCTTCCCCACCCACAACATACCATGTATTGCTTTTGTCTTTGTTGAAGGGAGGTTGGATGGCCGAATGGTTAGCACGTGCATGCTATATCATAAGGTCTGTCATTGAGTCAACTGGCATGGTTTCGATTCCCCAGTTGTACGTGACAAGGAGTAGGGTCGCCTCTTGGGTTTTCTCTGGGTCCTCCGGTTTCCCCCCACTGCTAAAGACCGAATTATTGAAAGAAAATTGAACCATGTGTTGGTCCCGAAATGACCTAGTTTGCGTCAAGTGGACGTAAAACCCCATTTCTCTTTCTCTCTTGTCTTTGTTGAACTACCAGTGTTTACAAATCCCAGCTTAAAAGGAGCGGGGTCCTGGGTCAGACTAGAATCGCCAGTCCCCTACCGCTGTGAAAAAATTAATTTATATTCTTTTGAATGGCATACGTGACCTTTTGATCGGCACACATGCATAATACACAACTTACAGTCTGCAATACAAGTAGGAATTACATAATATCTGATCAAACAGGAAATCTATTTAGTTCTGAATGGCATGGAAATAACATATAGTGGAGCGGAACTGTTATAACAAGTGTAATCACCCGATTGCTGAGTTGTTACAGAGTTCAGAATGTTTTGCGGGGTTGATGGATCACAGACTCACCAGTCTCCACTCATTATGCCGCATGACCGATGAGTGGAACTTTTATCTGGAATATTAATAATTTTTTTCGCTTTTTGCCATGAACCACGGGGGCCTGGGCCTGGGTCCGGGCCCATTAGGCCATGCCTAAGCTGGGCTGTCAGGGAAAGGAGTGGGGTTTAACATCTCATCTAATGGGACCGCAATTTATTTTCCTTTTTCGATTAAAAATTATTTGAAGGTGTACAATTGCCTTATTGCAATTGAGTGTAGCTAAGAAAAAAAATTACCAGTAGTGCATGGCAATGGAAAACAAAATTGTATCCTTATGTTATCTCACATACATTAAGCCTTTAGGTATCAGTCTTACAAATAGCAAATGATGTCAAATTATTGTACTATATGTAGCCATAATGTGTTGACTTTTTTTATGAACTCCAATCTGTACTATATTAAATATTACAGCGTTGTGATTACTTTGTAGGAAATTGAAAGTGTATTGTAGGTGTTTCTTTAAATTTATGTCAGTATTTTATTGGATTGTATTGCTAAATAAAAGATTAAAGCCAATACTGCAATATGTCACAAGGTATTGAAAGTGAACATCGATTTAAGTAACAAGGTATTCTTTTTATCAACTATTGGAAAATAATTATTACTCGCTGACATGTGTTAATACTACCCAGCAATGAAATGAAGCGCCCTCTGATACACGAGAGTTAGCTCCCTTCTGTCAATCACCGTAAATGCTATTTACCCCTTTGGATAAATATTATTTTTTTTCTAGCATAAATTAAAAGCCATGAGAGAAAGACTTCAAGAAATGAACAGTAAAACACAGAATTATTTAGATAATGTACAGGTAAGATTTCTAGAGCTGTGGTATACATTTTTATACTCCCATGTTTTCACCGCATTGGTCTGTCGTCCATGATTGTTTCTGGATGGTCTAGAGGCTACGGTTAAGATAAATGAAACTATGACCAATCTTGTATGTAATTCTATTAAACTCCAGAGGTGGGGGCATAACACTAACTTACCTTATTCGCCATGAATTGGTGACTCATTTGCTGAACTGGCGACTTGGGCTTTGTGAAGACTTGGGGCTTGACTCGAATTAGTACCAAAGTCAGCGACTTGGGACTCGACGTGCGGCGACCTGTGACTCGATTCTGACGTGTGGCGACTTGTTCCCACATCTGTTAAACTCATACATATTCAGATTAATCACTAGTTCAATTATTCTATGCATTTTGAATCAACATTTACGTTCAGTGTTAACCGTTGCTGATGCAGGTAAATTAGACATTATTAAATAAATAAAATACATGAATGAATAATTTGAGCAGAATAATAAATTAACTGCACAATTATTTATGCTTTATAGAGTACATATATGTAGTTGTAAAATGTTATCAGTTTTGTGTTGTATTGTTTATTGGTTTCTCGTAGAGGTCTGTCCATTGTTGATACTAGAAGAGTTTTGTTATTTTTTTATTTAAGATGACAATGAAAGAGCTGGAGGATTTAGAAGGTATAAGTCAAAGAATGACCATTGAACATGACGATGATGAAGATAATGATTGTGAGAATACTGAACAGACAAAAGAGAATAAAGAAAATAAAGAAATCAAGACGACAAGTCTTCCAGCATCTAATGACAATAATTCAAATGCCTTTTTCCTCACAGATGGCAATTGAAGGTCAATAAAGTGAACATTGTGAAGTCTTATACATGTATCTTGTGCCATGAACTGAATGTATAGGTTTAAAATTACAGATCAAAAGAAATGACAATTTATATGTGTTACTCATGGATGTAGATATAGAAGGCCATAAAAATGACTGGTTATTTAAACTTCGACCGTTTTGCCATTGTTAAGCCTTTTCCTGCTAATCAAAATATGATCTAAATCCCTCTTTCTTTCATTTACTTCGAACCAGATATTTCATTGTTTAAATACATGTGCCTAAGGCCATTTTATGAAAATCTATGTGAAGGGTTTTTTTAAGACAAAAAACCTCAAAACAACCAATTTTATGACCCGTCAAAGGTTACAATTTGTTCAACGAGATGGACTATATACAGGTAGTTACCTTTTCTTTTAGAATATTTGGAGGCATATCTCTGCTGGGGTAATGTAGACTAGAATTTCTCTAAACTTATTTCTTTTATTGACTTACATCACTTAACCTGATGTTTTATTGTTTTTTAATATAAGTGCCTTGACGGATATTTTATGAAAATCAACATTTTAGCTTGAGATAATTTTTAGACAAAAATCTTCCCAAAACAATAGATTTTAGGTCCTTGTTCAACCACTACAATATTACATTTTGTAAAAAGAAGTTTTAGAAAAATCACTGCTGTGGTATGGTAGACTAGAAAATTATAATGTGCTCGCATTACTGTATAATAGAATCTTTGCATATATTTTTAATGTTTTGTTTTATTTTCATTCTGTTAAAAATTCTTATATATCATACCCTGCTGTAAGAACTGTACTAAAAAATGCCTTATAAACTGTATCGTTTGTGCATTGGTACAGATGTACAGATCTGGTCAAAATTGGGATGTATTACTGAGAGAATACAAGCCTTGTTGCTAAGGAAATTAGTATCTTTTTACTGGATTGAATCAATAGGCCATATAAATAAATGATGTGTTTAAAATGTCAGTCATTGTGGAAAATTTCACAAAGATTTGATTTCTGATCAAATTAGTACAATATAATGACTGGAAGCCTGGGGTATGGCATGGTCCTGAAGCAACGACAGCAAGTTTTACAATATCTAGACGTTGTAACACTGCTTTGCAATTTCCGAACTTATAGCTATCTCTCTTTACCGCAGACACATGAAGTGTAGTGTCCAATCAAATCGAGCATGGCAACCTCCACGGAAACCTTGCCATTGAACGAACCTTGAACTTTGCAACTCAATTATCACAGGTAGACATTTTAGCTGGAAAGCGCAAGACTTGGTATTCGCGATGATTGAGGAATCTGATAGGTTCTCAAGCTGCATCCTTACCCAATCGAAATTAGTGCCGATTTATGCGAGGTATTACGTCAAAGGCTTGATAAGATGAACAGAGTTAAAGTGAGATCAAGCATAGAATTTTTAAAATTTTGGCCAAGTAAATTAATTGTTGACTATGTACTTGTATTTAAATTATTTTATTTAAAGAAATTCTGAGCTTGGAATGTGTTTTTCCAACTAATTTGTGCCTTTTAAGATACAATCAGCATTTAAACACCAGATTATTTTTTAGAAGTTTAATGATATCTGTTTTAAAAACTTTTTGGTTTTAAACATTTATTACATATATATTTCATATTTAATTACTATAATTTTTAACATCAGTATAATCTCTGACAATGGTCGAAATAGGATGATTATCACTTTTATTTTCTGTATTATAAAATATATTTCATGTCAATACTCCTCAAAGAAAGTTATTGTTTTCATTTATTTCAAAGCTGGAAAATATAAGTTATTTCAAATATAGGCTACATGTATGTATATTTCATGAGTCTTTCAACTTGAGGTTAAACCTATTTTGACAAGAAAATAGAAATGATGTAAAATTTTATTTGCAGAGGGACAAAAAACTCAGTCCATGTCTTATTGTATTTATTGCCAAACTAATCAGGAAATCATTGAAACCTGTAATAAATAATGATTACCACATGAATTGTTTTGTTTTTCTAATCTATTCTAATATTTGTGACTGTCTGTTCATTGTTGGCAGACACTAGGGCTGTCCCGAGGCTGAAATTTGGTGTGTAGGGGTAGCTCCGAACAGGTAGCAACATAGGCCTTGTGGCGAAAGCCTACCACTTCCGGTTTCGGAGTTACAGGCACAACCCGTGCAGTGCCAGGTTGGACAAATGCTAGTAAAACCATATTGTTGCCAGAATTTCGTTATAAATAAGACAAGACATTCTGCTTTTGAGTACAAAAATAGGAATCGATCTGTTTATTGTGAATTCAGATTGGAAAGAAATGGGGTTTAAAGGCCACTCGACACAACTAGGTCTTTTAGGGACTAACATGGTTCAATTTTATTTCAATAATTCGCTTGCACATAGGGATCTTTAGCAGTGGGAAAAAAAACCCGGAAGACCTGGAGAAAACTCACGAGGCTGGATGGGTGACCCTACTTCTTGTCAAGTACAAGTGGGGTATCGAAACCACGCCGCTTGACAGACCTTCTGATCCATATGGAACGAGTTAACCATTATTTGGCCCAATTTATCATCTGGTTATTTTTAAAGTTTTCAAGATGGTAGCTAATCCATTGCTCCTTTGTCAATTCTAGAGGGAAAAGGCATAAATAAAGGTCAAGTATTCATTAGAGTAGCCTGTTAGGTAAGATAGCCTACTCTGAAACATTTTAAGTAGGCCTATCGTGCTGATACCTGCATTCATAGCCTATAATATGTTACCGGTAGGTCTACCCGTATTCATTAAGAAATATTTATTCAGATTATAATTTTTTTGAATACCCACGGTGAAATATTGCTGTCATCTCTGTCCCAACCAGTTACTTCTTTTTACAAATTATATCTAATTTAATATAATTTTTGGCTTGTCATCATTTTGTTCCCGTTTGTAATTTAATTAACTGGTTAGATTTGAATTTTGTTTGGTTAACATGACAACGTACTGAAATTAATCGTATTTTGTGTGTATCGTTTTTTTTAGGTATGTATGGACATGTTTGTTGTTTAAATAGTATTAAATAAAGCTTAGAATATTCTAGTTCAAGTTGTTTTGTTGACAGTAGATACCAACGTGTCGCGAGAGTTGTCTCCCATAACTGGAAATACAGCGTGGGCATGCGTATTTTGTATGTTGCATACCAAAACAAACGAAATCATGGACTCCGTCGGCAAGAATTTTGAAGATTTGGATATTTCTGAAGATGAAATCAAACGTATATCAGATGCTATGAAAGATGAAACTTTTAGAAAACTATTTGTAGAATATGCTGAAGAAATATCAAATCCAGAGAATCGTCGGCTTTACGAGGAAGAGCTTACGCGTCTAGAAAGCGATCGAGGGGTCGATGTCACGTTTGTCAATCCAACGCCGGGTCATGTTTTGAAAACCAGTGTCAACGGTGAATCAAAGGCGTTTATTAACATTTGCCAAAGTGATAAGATAGACAAACCAAAAGGCGAACGTCAGACAAATGGGGATGGCAAGAGTGGACTAATGTGGCACATACCTCATTCATTTGCTCCAGCAAGAGAAGATTTGGATAAAAATGGCAAGAAGTGCCAGGTTTATGATGTTGTTTTCCACCCAGATACATATAGAATGGCACAGTCGAATACACGATTTAATAAACTTGTCGAAGATACAGCAATTGACGGAATTGAAAACAACTTTTCAGTTAAACTATATAAAGCTAATCTCAAAAGACCAAACATGAAATTCAAAGGCACCCCATCTGCCACTGTTATTCGAACCAAAAAAAATAATCCAGGCTCTTCCGAACTTCGGAGCGATATTTTGAAAAATATGCCGTATCCGTATGATGAAATGAGTGAAAAAAAAGCTGACGCAAAGAAGAAAACTGATATTGTCACAGAAAAGAACAAGAAGAATGTTCAAAGTGATGTAACAAATTCTCCTGATCCAAGTTATACCGTTCCAAAGTATTCAATTCTTCATAGAGCTGAATTAGACATGCAAGAATACACCAACTCAAGAAATTCAAAAACCTCTACACGTCCAAAAGAACTTGTAGTATCTATAGAATTGCCATTACTAAAATCTGCAGCTTCTGCCGATCTTGATATCTTTGAGAAAAGGCTTGTGTTGGAGTCGAAGGAACCTGCTCAATATAAACTTGATATTGCATTGCCATACCCAGTAAACGAAGATGATGGCAGTGCTAAATTTGACAAGACAAAGCGTTGTTTAATTGTTACCTTGCCAGTATTACCAATGAAATCAGATTTGTATCCAGTTAAACCCACAGAAGATGAAACTCTAAATGAGAATTTAACTGGTGAAGATATTAACACTGAGGATAAACCTCTGATTGAAGTTCTAGAAACATCTGAAAACAACTCATCATCCTCATCATCATCAGCAGCAGGTTTATCCCAAAGTGTTGAAACAGTTGAAAATGCTGAAGAAGAAAACAAAAGTAGCCATCATCAGAGTTCTCCCAGCATTATATACAATAAGCCAGAATTTACCTTTACACAAGATGAAGAAACGATAAACTTTGTTATCAATGTTAAAAATGTCTCTTTAGAAACTGTATCCAAATCATTTCCAGCTTCCAGTTCCATTCAACTGAAATTTGTGTCCTTGGGTTCGGGTTGTTTTCCAATGTATTATAGTTTATTTCTGCAGTTCCCTAATGGATGCGACATTGCTTCAGATCATTGTTCTGTTGACATCACTGATAGTAATCTCGTTTTACTCATCCTGAAAAGTAAAAGTTGCAGGACATTGTGGAATTGTTTTAAAGCTGGCGTTGATGGGAGTTCTTTAGAGGTATGTTGATGCATGTTGAGTCATATTAATGTGCTGTACTGTGATGAAAATATCTTGTTTTAACAATTTTACATTTTAAGATATTTTGGCTAGCTGCTAGACAAAATATTTTTATTTTTTATATTGATCATTTGTCATTCTAAATCTGCATTATTGATTTAACACCAGAGTTTTTAATTGGTACAGGCTACAGATTGGATGTACATGTTTGTTTTTGAATAAATTATAAAGTTGTTTGTATAATATTTTAATGAAATAAGCTGACTTGTCATTTTAAAGTTACAATGAGCATTTCTGGAATTTATATGGTTATTCATTAGTGAATGTTTCTGTTAAGATATTGAGGTGTTCAGAAATGAACACCATAACTGCTTTTATTTAATTGGGTAATTTAAATCCAGTAAAGCACCATCCCAGCATTTGGTCTGTCTGTTGTGTACAGTACCAAGATTAAGCTTCAAGAAATAGTTATCCGGACTGTTATTTGTCCTAAACACACATGGAAATTAAAAGTTTGATTTCTTATATACAAAGTCAGTGTTACTAAATAGGCTATATTATATTATATACACGTAGTATCGCAGAGCTTCGATTACTATACATGTACATGCAGTTCAGTTACTTGCTTGCCAGAATATCAAAAATCACTGCAGTTCTTAAGCATAATTTGACATTGAAAATCTTTCAATGCCATGAATAGTTTGAATTAAAAGTTTGTGGTAAAATACATGTACTAGGACATTGTTGGTGTAAAATACATGTGGTAGTACATGGTTTTTATCAGTTGGTGTGAAATACTCGCTGCCCACCTGGCATCCCATTTTATCATTCATATCCAAGATGATCGATTCACATACATGTATTAAAAATGCATTATGTAAGATTTAAATACAGAGTTGACCATTCTTGCTATAACAGTTTAAAAATAGATAATTAAAAGTGAATGTATTGAAAATTTCGTTCAAATTACTTTATTCTGAGCTAAATTATCACTGTTTGGAGTTTTGACAAATTGTGGCATTGATTGTTTATCATCATAACAACGGGTACTTGTTATTCGAGACTTAGAATCGCTTCTGCATTTTTGAATTAAATTATTAAATGACCGTAGCATTCTAATCTACTTAAAGATACATTATTGGAGATTAGATAAAGAGCTGGTAGTTCTCACTATAATAGTTAAAAACTAGATAAAGTGAAGGGAATTTGCTGAAAATTTCAGTCAAATTGATCCACTCTGAACCAAGATTTTAGCGATTGAATTTTCAACCTAGCCTCGATCATCATTAATAAAGTCGGTACAATAAAAAACATAGTCTCGATTATCCAGTTCAAGATTAAATCATGAATGGAAGTCAAATAGCAAATTGGAACCTAATCCAATAAACATTGCAGGCTAGCGATTACATCAAGAGTTGATTATGGTCTGGATAAGTTAATTAATGTCTAATTAATAATTTAGATAACATTTCAGGCCTAAAGAATGACCTGCAATATGCAGATTTAGCTCTTGCATAATCTATGTTTAAAATTGGAGCTTGTCATGTTAATAAATGTTGAATAATAGGCAGATTTAACTCTTATATAATGCATCTTTAACTGGATGGTGGATAAATTGTGTTCTTCAGAAGAATAAAACCTTGAGAACATCAGATGTTGGCCAACTTTTTGAATAATTTTATTCAACAATATTATTACATTGCATAATAAAACCTTATTATTTATTTATATTCCAAATTCATCAAATTGTTTTTATGGGAAAAATAGCTTTAAATAACCTTTAAGGTCATTATTAATTTTATTTTGATTGTCATAAGTGATCAAACAAATTTTGTGGAATTAAAATCATTTAAATAGTACAGTCAGCCTGAGTTGGTTATAAAAGAACACATGCAACTGCCAGCAGTGTACGATACTCGGGTATGCATGGGAAACAATATACATGTAAGTAGGCCTATTTAAAATACATTTTATCTTTCTTGCATAAATTTTATGTGACCCCAGAGGCATTTTACTACATGTAGTTACCATGCACTGTGCAGCTCATTCCTGACACCTGTCACACCATTCATGTCATAAATTTAATAAATATACATCTTGACTCAAATAGATGAATATAAGAACTGAGTTTTACTTTTAAATTGGGTCATATCTTATTGGCTTACGCAAATCTTAAATAATCTTCTCAGCTAATTATTCTCTTACAATGTATATCAAAGGCGTGTCATTTACTGCACACATTCATTTGCATTTTAAATGAATTAATTTTGGATTGATGTATGATGGAATTTGGAGGTAATGATAGGAATTGTAGTGTGGTACTTTATGGCAAGGAGAATTAGTGTTTGGTCAAGTAATAATAATCCAATTCTTATACATATTTATTAACTAACCATATCTTGGTATAACAAGATAATTGAACTGTCCGGTGAAGCCAATATACATCCACAGTTGTACATATATAAAAGACACAGAATTATTTATAAATGAGGATGTGGTATCCGATTTTCTGGGAAGGGTAACCAACTAACCATCCTAGCTTGCTATGCATCACACACATCACAACTCATAGATGGTTAGTTAGTCAATAAATATATCCCAAGATTTGCATCATTGCTATTTGACCAAACACTAACTAGTGACTAACTTGGTATATATCCAATTGCAGAATTAACCCCCACCTCGCCTCATTTTTTGTTTTTAATGTGATATAGGACATAGTAGTCAACAATTGTTTGAAAGTTAGTAAGCTGATTATGATATGATTAGGAAAGAACCGCATCGAAATTAAAAAAAAAAAAAGTGGGATCGTTTTGCAGAGTTATCTTTCGATTCACATTTTGACATCTGAAGCCTGTGAAACCAATACAGAATATATAGTTCACAATGGAATTTTTAAAACTTGGTTAGATTGTACATGTTTATTAAGGATGAACTATATTGAAATTCAGAATAATGAGACATTATCTTTCAGAGTTATTGCTCATGGTTTACTTACAAATTCTTCTTCCATGCAAGTTTTCTGTGGAATTTTTTTAAACATATTAAGTTTTTCATTGGGCTATAAGACAGAATTCTATTGAATTTGATCAATTTAAGATCAAAAATTTTGAATGCATTTTGTGGAGTTATTTTCCATCCACAGTTTTACTTTTGAAGCTTAATACAAATTCAATATATTTTTGAAAACTTTCTCTGGGGGGTTTGTTGACAATAATTTTAAATTTAGCATCGATGACTTGACAATTTGTGGACATAGGGAGCCTAACAAGCTTTGGCTAGTTTCTACTGTACAATATATGAAGTAAAGTGCAAGGTACATGTATGAGCAGACAGTTCTATATTCACTACAGAAGTTTTGTTTGTTTGTATACCTTAATGTTATATAAATAGAATTTTGTGTGGGCTAAGATTTTAAAGACTAGATGATTTTGAGTAATATAGCATCCTAGGATGTATGAATTTGAGGTCAATATGCATTCATGTCAGTTTGTAGGTGGATGATACAATAGTTATATATCCTTGTACAGGCTACTTATAAGCTTGCTGAATCGTAATTGCATTAGAGAAACGCTTTCAGATATAAGTCTAGGCTCACAGCGTCTTGAAATCTCATTATTAGTGTATATTCAAACTATTAGCAAATATGAACTAATCGTAGACTAGAAACTTCTTACAGACCTTGAATGTTGGTGGTTTTATTTCTTCTGGCAACAGTCTACATGTTTACCACAAATCTTCACAACTATCTAATCAGTTGAAGATAACAGTTATTACAACTCCAGAAAGTGAAAACATAGTAAATCTGATGGATAAATGGGTGCTTTCAAGATTAGTTTAGTTAAGATAATTTGAGGATGTGTTATCTTGTATTTAGTACTGCAGGCTAGTGATGATAATGATTGGATTAGATGAGCTGTACAGCCAGTACCTATTTGCACTAGGCATGCATACATGTACCTGTACATGTAGTTATTAGTATTAGCACAGTTGATTAGATGAGAGAGTGCCTACAAACTGGTAGATATAAATTGTTAAGTATGAACTAGAGTGTTGTTAATGTTATTAATGTTGAAGCACTCTGTTGACAATTTACGTTGTGTTCATTGATTGGATGATACAGTATAAAGAGGATTTTCTGTATTGTGATACTGATAATATTCTATTGGCTAAAACTGATATCAAAAATGGAGAGTAATCAAATTTCAGAGGAGAATAACCGGAAAACAGTTTATGGTGTAATCTCGTATCATATTAATATTATTTTGTGGAAAGTTGTGTTTTGGATTTTGGTAAGTACCATATTGTCTGTCCATCATTATATTGTTTAGCTTTTATATATGACACAAGTATTATAACTGTAGCTAGATCTTTCTGCTTGTTGTGTGATTTTTTTCAGTCTAAGTTTGCATATGTAGGGTTTACTCAACTTAGTTTGCTTTCAAAATTACCTGTATGTCCTAAGTTGTTTGGATGGGGTCAAAATTATTATTGGATTTGCACTAGAGGTAGAATTAGAAGGAAGGAATTCAAAATTGCTGCTATCTGCATGTGTATGTAAACAAAGTTCTTCTATGACCCTTTTCATGTAACGGAAGCCCCAGAGGTTACAGGTTTGATCCTGGTGTTGCTGAAAAGGTACCTTGGGTTATCCAGCATGGTTTCCCCCTATGTCAGAGGTCCATGATTGAGGGCCTGACAATGTTCCATCCAACTTGTGTTCACGCTGACACGCACATAAAATAATCCTTGACAGTTTTATTTTTATATGGCCACAAAGAAATGTTGTATATTGCTGTCGCCTCCGCCCAGCCTTTGCTGCGGCGTCTACAAGCTCTAGAGGCTACACTGTATACACTGTATTAAAGTTCATTAGCCGATGAAGCCTACTGATTTTCAATGATTTCCGATAATTACTGCCAGAGTTATGGCCATTTGGTCTGAAAAGTTAATACCTGATTGAGGTTATTAAGTTCATGAGACGAAGAATCCAAGTGATTTTCAACAATTTCCGATAATTACTGCTAGAGTTTTACAGTTATGAGACGGAGAAGCCTCTTGCTTTTCAACGATTTCCAATAATTACTGCCAGAGTTATGGCCCTTGTTCACTTGAGAGATCTTATAGACGCGCTAGAGGCATAGATTTATGCACATTGTTTAAAGTAATGAGACAAACAATCGATGCAAATTCTAATGATCTCTGATAATTACTTAATGGATTGTTACTTGTAATCAGATTTTAGTGTGTTGTAAATGTTTTCATATTACTGACAAAATCAAAAATGTATCTTTCTTTGCCTGGCAACCTATCTTTGAGCAATGCGCCCTAATATATCTTTAGGTATAATTTAAAACAGGCAGAATTGAAATGATCTTAAACCCCATTTTATTTTATTTTCAAACAATTCTAACAAATTTCTTGGATAAAACTCATCTTCTCGAGCAATACACCAGCTTGCATGTCTGACAGGCATAGACATCTGAATCCTTGAGGTTTGCCATATATTTTATGCCATTATTCATTAAGAATTAATTGTGGAATTATTCTATAAATAAACCCTTTACAATTATTTCCATCAGTCTAACCATATAAGCTCTGTTCTTAATTATAAAAAAATGGCTTTTAATTAAGAAGGTTCTCCTGGTGTATTTTTTGTGGAAATCAGCACATTGGATTTTTGATTTTCTGTTGGTTGTAATTATTAGTGGTATATGAAGTCACAAAGTGTAAATAAATATAATCCAATAGTCTATCATATTCGTGATATATATAATTTACTATGTAGGTAGTTATTGATTACTACCTTTATCTCGGCTATAATTCACTGGTATCGACAAATGTTATATAAATTATTGTAAATATGTATATATATGAATCATCAAGATAGACTGACCCAGACCTATAATCGAATCGAATGACACAATATTTTATGCATTCTAAATTAAATATGCTTTTTTTGCAAGTTTTATCAAATTGACCTTTCTGTACCCTCATGGAAAAATTGATACCAAGACCTGATAATGAGATGGTTCAAGTCCTATTATGGTTTTTGCAATATTAAATGTGGTTCAATAATCAATTTGAAAACTTTTGATATCATTTATGGCTTTAGGTTCAATAGTTTACCATAGTATGATTCATAGATTGCATTTTATAAAGATGTAAATATATTGCCCAATTCAAGGTCTTACAAATGATAACAAGATTTATTGCTCTCGTCTGGATATTCTTGTCTATTTTGTTATATGTGTAAATGGCATAGGAATTAATAGAGCTGGATAAACAAGGGTTATTTGTTTGCTTGAGAGCCTCACCACGTGACTAACCGACCTCATTTCTATGCAAGCTGTCCGAGAAGCCGGTCGAATTTGAGAGAGAAAAAGTAAATCATTTCTGGGAGCTATATTTCGTCATTCACGTCCTGTTTGCATATTACTAAAGTGAAGTTTGACTTTTAAAGTTGATTTATGCAGTTAAATTTGTCCATGACAGGGAGAGTGCTAGCTGAAACAAGCGACTGAATTTGGGTATTTTGCTTTGCTGAAACGGTAGGTGGGATTTCTTCTTAGTTCAAGGGTAAAAACGATGTGATGGCCGATATCGTTATAAATTTTCTTTTCCACGGATGCGAAACGAGGAGTTGCAAGAAAAACTACCTCTGAGCAGGTTTTCGAGCTCTATTTTAGTTTTGTATTTTGATTAATTTTTAAAAATATTTGTTGATTTGTCTTATTGTCTGGGCAAAACATAAACAAGGAAGGGTAAATAATTTTAATATAGAGGAAAATGGGTGATGATATGGTTATTATTTACAGATAACTAATAGAGTTTACATATACTTCATGTATATTAATATTATATAGAAAGTGCATTACTTTATAGAAATTCTGTAATAAAAGTATGTTTCATTTAATTTAAACACTTGGAACAGTTTATGCAATACATGTATGTAACCAGGATACAGTTAATTTTAATGAGTTATATAATATGCATACTCGATATGAAGAAGTAGGTGCATAGTTCAGCTCTGAATGTCGTTAAACGGCAGGACGAGTGTAACAAGAATTTATGTTCAAAGCTGAACTATTAGGCGCAATATGGTGCATAGCAGCAGGAATTATGAAATGCACAAAGCACATTGTTTTACTTATTTTGAAGTGATAGCCCTTAAGCCTGTGTAGCTTACTGTAGGTGTATTGCTATAATGAGAGATACATATGTATACAAAGCACATTGTTTTACCCATTTTCACTATAAGATAATGTTTCAATGATTAGGCTTCTTTTGTTTAAACTGGTGTGATCAAGGCTATCAAGCACTTTGATTGTGATTTGGTTTATAATTCTGTGTTAAAAAGCTGTGGTTTCAACCTTTTTATACACCCACATGGAAATGTGGTCGTACATGTTACTATGTATATTGCTGTTTATTGTTCGTCCATCGTCCACATTTTCTTGTGAATACTCTACAGACTACATTTATTATCTGATGTTTTTGAAATATATATATGTTGTTAACATTAGTGAAACAAAGAAGCCTATTTTTATACTTTTGGGCCAGTAAAAATACATGTAGGGGACATTTTGGGGACTACTAAGACAGAAATGAAAAACATTATAAATAACCTTATAGTGTTTTGTGTATTAGTTTTTAAATGTTATAGGGGGGTTGGATGGCTGAATGGTTAGCACGCGCGCGCTGTATCATAAAGTCTGTCATTGAGTCAACTGGCGTGGTTTCGATTTTTCCTCAGTTGTACGTGGCAAGGAGTAGGGTCACCTGTCCAACCTCATGGGTTTTCTCTGGGTCCTCCAGTTTCCTGCCACTGCTAAAGACCTCTACGCGCAAGCGAATTATTGAAATAAAATAAACCATATGTTAGTCCCGAAATGACCTAGTTTGTGTCAAGTGGACGTTAAATCCCATTCCTCTCTCTCTCTCTCTTTTAAATGTTATACTATAATAAAAGTTATAGCTACATTTGTATGTAAAATAACCAGGAATGAGTATTAAACAGCAATACCAGCAAACAAACGTTCGTTTCCCAGCAAGACTTTGATCAAATTTATACTGGTTTGTAGAAAAGACACCAATCTCAAAATAAACAAATCGGTCCATCAGATTTCATTTTTTAAAAGCATTGATGGTGTTTCCTTCAATCAGATTTATTTCAATTCTATTTTCAGGACAAGATATTTTTAACTGAGAATAATCTACAATCAGAATTAGATAGATTTGATCAAGAAGCCAGTGAAGAAGTAATCAATTCTTTTAAGACCGAAGTCTTGGTCTCGGAGATGAACGAAAAGAAGCTAACCATAAAATTAAACGTAAGATTTTAGCCATTTTAAGATTATTACTGCTGTTTATTAGAGTGCGAATAAATCTGAGCAATCCAGAATAATTTATCATAGTTAATCAGCTTTAATCATACTGTTCGTTGAGTATATGTATGGTTGAGCAGGAAATTGCCGGTAGACAATTGCGGATGGGACAACTGCCAAAGACATCATTTGTTTTTATGTCCTTTTTGTTAAAAATAACCAATACTTGATAATTAAATATTCTTTATTATTAACACATTGTCTATAATAGCACTCACTAAGTGACTGATTGACTATCTTTAATAGCACTCATGGATACAAAGTTATCACAGTTGAATATTATGTGCAACTGTCCAACACTGCAGTCTCTGTACTGTTAAGTTACGTTTTGATAATGATTACATTTATTGTGCTCATCTGTCTAGTCATTTGGATGGGACCAAAAAATGAGGTACTGTGTGCACATTGGCGTACACGTAAAAAAAACCTTGGCAGTTGCAATTCGATATGAGAGTCAGCCGTAGCGCAGCTGTCCGAGCAAAATTACTTTCATAGCACACTGTATGGTGTCTTCATTATCCCAGTCAGAGTAGGACGTTAAACCCCATTTCATTTCATTTACTTTTGTCTTTTTAAGTTTATTTTGATTTTTATTATTTTCTGTTTTTGTAGAGATTGTCGTTAAAAGAAGAAGATGAAGAATATGACGATACTCCCTCCTCTGCCGACATTGAAGTCGTTCACAAAGTTGCTCCTCCAAGACTCCATAGTATATTAAAACAACGAACAATTTCTGAATCTAGCGACGATTACGGGTTATCTCCAACCAGCGAAAGTCCACGCTCTGACGAGGATTATTCTAAACTCCACAAATCGGTGTCATTTAATAATCGCGTGGACTCCACTTCCTTTCACAGTAACAAATGTCCTCAGAGTGTGAAAACTACGCTACACAACAAACGTAAGAAGGCAAGAAGAAAGGAAAACTTGAAACAACAACGAAAGGAGCGACACAGAAACAACAGCACAGGTTCGGAGTATAGCAGTGGGGATGATTTGTCAGATTGTCATAGCCAATCAGACACTGCAACCACAAACAGCGATGATTTTGAAAAAATCCACGAGGAAACAGAAGATGTCACTGAAGAGGTTAATAAATTAGCTAAAGCCATCTCTAAAGGTTTTTCTGAGAGCCCAACTGTGGATTCTGATAGTCAACAGAAATGCAACTGTCGTCAAGGGTCAGACGACGGAGATGGGGATGGTGTTAAAACGAATGGTGCAGCTAATCAGCAGCCCTTAGATTTTAGGACTAGTGGGAAGAAAAAGCGAAACAAGGGGAAAGGGAAGGGTAAAAAATCTAATCAGGGCATGAATAAAAGTGATAAAATAGCTTCGACATCTTCAACGGATGACGATAATACTCATTCCAATGATCTCGTTACTAATGGCAACAGTAAACCACCGTCCAAATCTATGGATAACCACACAGAATCTATATCTGTAGATCATGGTAGCCAAACCGACCAAACAATGGAACCTTCCAGCACACAGACTACAGAAGCTACCAGTAAAACAGAACCGGCCATCAGCAAAGCGAACAAAGGATCTGATTTGAAGAAGGTAGCCGTAGCCTCAGGCAGCATTTCTCAATCAGGTGATCTTCAAAGAATGGCAGACGAAACAGATTCTTCTATCGTTAGAATTGTCGCAGGAGGCGATTCGCAACCTGACTCAGATGACGATGTGGAGAATGGTTTGGGAGCACCTACTAATGAGCACAGAACAAAGTGTGCCTTTAAATTCTCCAATTCTGTGATATATGACTTGGATGTTGAATAGTGAGTGTAAAGTGAGTGCTAGATCAGTTCAGATTGAATGATGATCCAAAAATGGGGTTATATCTATAGTCAATATAGCATTTAAACATCTATTATGGTATTTTTGTTATTTTGTTAATGATAAAATTTGTATTTCATTATTTTATGAATTGTATGTAGGATGAAGGTGAGAGATGTGCATGAACTTGAAGCATTACATGTAATTCTGTTTTCAGTTTGAACATGCACTAGAATTTATTCTTTATTTCTTTAATAATGAAATCTCTTGTGTTAAAATTTGAAGAATGTCTTCATGAAGTTCTAGAAGAGATTGGTTCATGTCATTTTTGTTAAAACATGATCATTTCATAAGCTGTTATAGCATTAGTCATAAATTGGTGCAAATTTAAGGTATAGGTATATGCATTTCAGAATTTTAAGGAAAATGTTGAAAATAGAAGGATGACATAAGGTGTGTATCACAGATTGAAAGTAGTTTCAATTACATTTGAATTGTTATGCCCAGAACGGGATAGCCTTTGCTTGATATAGACCTGAATTCTGACTAAAACTTTTTTAATTAAGAAACTGTTCTTTCATTCATACTTTTTCAAGTGAAGAACATTTCACTAGGTCAGAAAGAGTTATTAAAAATTGAAAAGGTGAAAAGAACATTTCACTATGTCAGAAAGGTTTAATAAAAATTAAAAAGGTGAAAAGAACATTTCGCTATGTCAGAAAGGTTTAAAAAAAATTGAAAATGTGAAAAGAACATTTCACTATGTTAGAAAGGTTATATAATAAAAATCGAAAATGTGTTTATCTTGTTTTGGACAGAGCTGTTTTGTTTAGAAGAAATTTTTGTTTGAAGGATGATTATACGATTGATTGATTGATATATATTAAAGAATGTAATTGTAAAAGTATACAATATATTAGTTTTTGTTTTAAGAATTGTATATAGTGTGGGTCATTGAATAAACTACTTCCAATATTAAATGAAAAGGTGAATGATATATCTTTGGTATGCTAGATGTAGAATGTGATGGAATAAAACTAATAAATGTATATGTTCTATAGTTTGTGGTAGTTATTGAGTCAAGTACAATGGTTGTTACTCTGGCAATAAATTGCTGGCAAATTAAGCTGGTCTTTTGACACCTCCACATTTAAAGATACATTATGTAAGATTTAGATAAAGAGCTAGCCATTCTTGCTATAATAATTCGAAAGTAGATGATGTTAAATGAATAATTTGAAAATTTCATTCAAATTACTGTATTGCAAGCAAAGATATTAGCCTTTGAAGGTTTGACAGACGTGTGCAATAATTTCAACTACCGTACTGGTTGATCAAAGCTAAGTCTTGGTCCTCCATATTTGATTAAATCAAAGTATCGCTGAACCATTCTAATCTATTTAAAATCGGAGAAATCTGATGCCATCGAGAGTTGATTAAGGCCTGGATCAGTCAATTAATGTCTAATTAATACTTTAGAAAACATTTCAGGCCTAAAGAAAGACCTGCAATAGGCAGATTTAGCTCTTGCATAATGCATGTTTAATGTGGATTGATACAGTATATTGTCGTCAGTCTGCCTAACTTTCCTTGTGAAGTCTCCACATTTACATTAAAAAGTGGTGAAATATTGATTTTAGAATAATTTCTCTTTATCTTGGTCCCAGCAAATGTAGTTCCTATTATTTATAGGCCTATTATTATTTACACCCATTGTTTAATGGTTTGACATTTTTCTATCCGTTTTTGATGAATATTCATAATTTAGGGGCGGAAGGCTGACTGAATTACGTGGTTAAGATAACTACCTGGTATCCTGTTTACTGGCACACTATTCCCAAGTTGTGCATCTCAAAATATCCATGGTCAACACTGTCACATGTAGCTACATTTGGGGTATATACTATTAAGCCCAGCGGAAGTTTTGTTAAAAGCAGCTGCGTTTGGGGTCTATACTATAAGCCCAGCGGAAGTGCTGGGAAAAATTCGAGGTGGCAAATAGACCAAAATTTACAAATAGTAAAGCTTTTTGGTGGCCTGCATCCTGTAGTGTTTAATCGAGTTATTTCCCTTCAATTAAATACCACCCTTCCGTGTGCGCTTCACTGCTCTTGGGATTAACCCGAGCGGCTCCAGATAATAATAACCAACGTTTTGTTTTGTTTTTACTAAATTCTTTATCTGGATAAAATATCAAATAAACATAATTAATACAGTTATAACAGGCTTGACTTTTAAGCAAAATTTGTAATATTTTTGGGCAAGGCAATACAGAATAAGGTCAAATTATTTAATGTTTAGTTTTTCTGTTCGAGAATACAAAACTGTATAAAATTATGGTTAATTTACTATATATCAATAAGTAGGGATTTTTTTAAGTATCGGCAATGATGCGCACATATCCTTGAAGCTAAGTATATCCCTATTTACAACATTTTAGCATGCAAAAGCTTAATGTCCCACCATATCTCAAATACAAGACTTACTTATCCAATACATTATTTGTTGTTAAGCTGAATGTCTCTCGCATTTCAAGGCTTATTAATTATACTATTTTTCCCCAGCCCGATCTTTTTTTCGGGTAAGAGGGAGTCATTAGACAAACATACAATAAATTATTTTTCAAGCCAATGACCCATAACATTTCAAGCCCACATTCCTTTAGCACCATGACTCGTATATAATATGTCCACCGTGTAGTGATTTAACTCAAACATATCTGATACAAAAGCTTTATATATAAATTATGTACAATTTTATCATAAAAAAAACTTGATATAATATAAGAAATAGCCACGTCACTCGTGCTATATACAATATAAATATATAAACATAATGTCATAAATCAATAAACGTTTTACTGTTAATATTCATTAGCAAGCCTATATACACCATAGATTCGATAATTATACAATATTATATTCCATAAAAAGGTTGGTTCGAATATCGCCATCTTATCAATTTGACCTGTTATACACGTTGACAACGGACCAACATTTCGGCCACAGTAGTTCACAGAGCCTCGTTTAACATGGTGACGAGGAGGCGCCGCCGCCGCGCACTGGCCAAACTGCCGCTTACTGAGCCCAAAAGTTGAAGACTGGGCGGCAACATACATACGTTTTGAAAATCGCTGACAAGGTTTTTCCCATGTGCAAAGCATGTCTGAGGCTGATAATCTGTCATGTCCCTGGCCTGAAACCGTACTATATCATGGTGCGTAGGTTTACAAAATCGTCTTTCTGATTGTTTTATGGGTCAGCCGCAGCAGTGTTTTGATCTCGATTTTACAGGGTATTAATCAATCCATGGTTTAACAAGATGCCCAAACTAATAGTGTATCAAATCTCCGAAACTATTTTTTAAGTGCTCAGAAATCGAGTCTAAGGGAGTAAATTTTCAAAATTTTCTGGGGGAGGGCCCCAGACCCACCGCGCGGGATCACACCTGCGGTGTTCGCGCCTCTCGCATCTATGGTGCTCGGGGGTCAGGCTTCGCCCGACATTGCCGCCCACTACCAAATCCTTAGACGAGGCTCTGGTAGTTCAGTAGTAGATAACTGCTTGTAAATGTAATAGCGACTATAACTGGTTAGAATAGAAACGGGGTTTAAACTCTCGTTTTTTCTAATGTGTGTGGGTAGCAGTGTATCCGCCTGCGCGTCCTCGAATTCCAATACTCCAATGTGTACGTGGGACCCCGGTTGTTCGTTCCACCCGCGCAACAAGAAAACTTTCCTTGCCAGTGGAATCCGCAGGAACTTTCTCGGTCACCACAGGGATCTCCTATAGCCAGCGACACAACCACTGAGTCACCGTGGCTCCCCTGCTAGAGTTAGGTTTAAAACAAAACCACTGTTCGATACATTTTGACAAGGAAACAGATGGTGATTTATATAAACCCCATAAATACACGTGCTGTTGATAACAAGTTATAAAGACTTGTGAACACGGTAGAATATAGTACATAAATATGTGTAGAAATAGCACCAATAGTAGAGTTAATCAGATTAAAACACAGATCCTATTTCGTTTCGTTTTTTATAGTTCAAAATTTCGTTTTACTTGTCCTCACAACCCTAGGATCTGGAAGAGTTGTTATGTAACAGGCGTTCTAGTTGATGTAGGGATTTAGCCAATGAAACGGTCTGTCACGGCAAGCTCTTGGCATGCTCTGCACGGAACTGTGAGTAAACCCCAGGAACGTCAACGCTGGTTGATTAATCAATGTCAAAAGCCGCTCATATGACCCCAGACGCGACCCCCAAGTACAACTGGTCAGATCTTCTTGTAGTGTAGGCCATCAAAAGTATAAGAAAAACGAAACGAAATATAGATCTGTATTTTAATCCGATAGATAGTAGAGTGTATTAATGATTAATTATACGCTTATAAATACAATAAATGATGAACACAGCATAACGTAATTATGATGTTTATGGAGGGAGAAACTGAAATGGCATTATGTATATACATCTGATAAATTTGTTAACCATATGAATTTGATTTATATTATCCAGTTTACTTAAAATTTGACCGCATTTTCATTTCTATTTCTCTTTCGTTGTTCTTTCTTAATATTTAACAGCGCTATAGGAAAATTACGGCCCTAATTTATCCTGGTCCTTTAAATCGCAAATCTATACAAACATTTTAATAATCAATAGAAGATTAAGACCATGGGTTAATGTCAGGAAAGGTTTGGGATGGGGTGGGAGGCAAACACCAAACTCGAATGTTCTGTATGTTGCCATTTTAGTTATACCTTGAGAAACGCACTCGACTTCAATAATTTTAAATAAATTATATTACACCAATAGAAATATATATTTGAGATAGAAATATATGTTTATATATTTAATGAATTTTGCATACATAACGTTTCTTATTTAATTTACACGTATCAGTTCTGCATTCAGTGCATCAAAGGCGCGTGATATTGCAGCTGAGAAATAAAGTCACGTGCTATTGTCAAAGACATCTCTGGATCTAGATGAACCAGTACTATCATACGAGTTGCCCAGGGTGGCATTGACACACCAATTCTGATTATTCGTTTGTTGAAAACAGTCGTCATTGGCGGCGTAGACTTCCAGGATGTAATACACGGTGCTACCTGAAAAGGGAATAAAACCGAAAAATGTAACGAAATTAAATTAAGGACACACTTGAAAAGCAGCAAAAGTATAGTAAAACTGAAGAACTATTAAATAATATTAAACGCACACCTTTCATTCTCTTATTGCAATCCGTAGATTACCACCACATCCAGGATCCAGGTCACCTTTACTAAGCAATAACACGTGTTTTTTCTTGTTTTTTTCTTTTTTTTTGAATTAGCACAAATTAATATATTTGTGGTTATATTCTTGGAATCGTAAAAGCCTGCTGTCGACTTCAGACATAACTCAATTTTGATCTTGTAAGAATTGAAAAGTTGAAGAGAATAAAATGGTGTTTGAGACCTCATCGTCACTATATGTTAAGTCTTTTTGAGGCTAACATGCGATATTATTTTTTGTTTCAATTGGTAACGTGTGTGCGGGGGTGTCTCCATTCCAACCTACTCTGCATTACCAGTTTGTGCACGGGATATCAGTTTATCGTTCCACCCAACCACCGGGCACACTTTTCCTCGGGCGTACACAGATATAATTTAATATGGAGGACCATTCTTCACCCCGACCCCCGAAGGGTCATCTTGACCCAAGAAACAGGGATATTCTACAGGATCTTGTAAGAAGTTAAAGTGATATACTTACACCAAAGCACGAACAGAGACCTTTACAAGCCGGTGGTTTAATGCTAATTTTACTGCTGGCTGATGTACCTACAGCTACACTTAAATCAGCACTATGAAAACATGTTAATGGTATATTCTGATAATATATAGAGTTGGTCTTCCTTACATCTAGTTTATATCCACCTGTTGGTTTAGTACTGTCTCCTATCTCTGACAGAGCAGCATCTGATAATACAATAATAATCACTGTCTTAATTTAAATGTTTAGTTTATATATCAGATAGAACATTTGATATTATGAATGTAATCAAGCAATTGATTACGTCCGTTTCATATTTACCTTATGAAGTTTAGTTAACCCCCTCCCCGAAAAATTAAACACATTTTTGGGAAACAGATACGACTACGCCAAGGATGTTCCCCGATCCGACTTTTTGGACAAAGATCGAGTTTTTAAACAAAAATGACATCTGCATATGATTTGTACTTGACACATTATCTGTTTCGAGGAGATGTGTAGCCCAATATTATGTTCCATAGCGCCTTTCAGATTGTAACACGACTGCTGGGTTTTCCATAGCGTGCCCATACTGTTATATCTGAAACGCTATCAAATTGTTTTATCTTCCTCAGTAATGAGTATAATGCACATGATAAATATTTGACCAACACCTTAGGCTAAGATAGTATTATCGATATTTATAGATTTATATTTCTTTGAAATATGGCAAGCACCTGTGAATATTTCAGCTGATAATATCAACACTCGTTGATTGGTCAAACAAATTCTTCCTTTACCGACCGGTTCTTTTACAACATTCGTTCCATCGGCATCAAGAAATTCCACACCCGTCACATACAACCAGCTGGCTCCTAATAACAGCTTCTCCCCATCGACCAACATTCCTGATAACAGAAATAAAACAATGTATTATACTTATATAGAATAACAACTGTTATACCATCTGACAATTTGCAAGTTTGGAATGTAAAGATTGTAAGGATAGTGGCATGACATTCATTCCGCGCACCACAGGGGAATACTTTCAACTGCAGAAATTTTAGATCCTGCAATGCACCTTTGCTGCATGCAATACCCTCATGTACTTTATGCAGTGTTGCTATTTTGAAGGACGAATTTAAGGACAGTGGCATGATATTAACACACACCCCGCCTCCGTCCCTGTCCCCAAGCACCCCACTCAACCAATCCCCACACGGGAATTCTTTCAACTGCATCAGTTTTAGATCAAGCAATACACCTATACGTGGCAATCAATACATCCATGTGGTGTGCAATACACCTTTGTTATCCCGTATTGCCATTTTGAAAGTCGTACTTTAGAATTTAGCTACTTCAAGTACTATTCTAGTAATTTATAAAATTAATCTCTTAAGACATCCTGATGTCGAGCATAGATTGACACCCTTAATCAATAACAGCTTATCAAATCTGATCGTACACACTTATCGATAAATGACCAGAGTGCCGGAACTGAGATATCGAGGAGTAGACTCCGGGAAGTTCGTGCACTTTTCGTGAATGTTTTGGAAATATTTCAAAAGTTCACCTTCATACTATACTATTTAGATAGGGATGTGAAGTGAACATGCCCTGTCCTTTATTTCTTCTATAAAATGTTTAATTTATGGGGTTGGTTTCCTCGTGTGCAAAATACGTGCCGTCATGATAACATTCGCCATATTAATTTTATGGAACATAAGAATGAAAACATTCCCATTGTCCAATTTTCCATTCTGTTTGGGATGTAATTAAGTCAATTAATAAGCATAATCCCATTGTTATTAAAATTGTACCGTGACTGACATTAATGTGGATCTTGAAATTAAATGAATCTTTCTAGTACCGATCGTTAGATTCATCACCGCTCTAGTAATTGATGCGTACGAGAATGTAATTGACCCGTACCAAATGTTGAATTCAGAGGGCGTTATTTGTTGTTATTGGTCTCATACATATTATATCATGCCAACTTCAAGCTGTAAAAGTTGCGTACATTTATCCGTCTGATAATAGCTGTCCACTGGGTGGTATCGATAATTTCGGTAAATACCATTCCTCATTTTACTCCCACAAAAGTGAGTTGTAAAGATGGCCATACACCAGGCAGTGTGCTATGAGGGATATTTCCGCCTACTATTCGTCGAATTTCAACTGCCAATAGTTCATTCACATGCACGCCAACGACTATGCGCAGTTGCTTGCGAGACTATCCGCCCTGCATCACCGACAATATGAAACCCCGCTGAAAATTCCCCAGGAACTTTCTCGGACAAAACCGGGACCGAACTAGCGAAGATGGTCAGTGTCATGGCATTAGTCAAAGACGGAAGTGGAACCATTTCTAGGCGATATCGTGCAATTTCTGCAATTAGCATTCCCCCATTCCACCTCCACAATAAGGAATATAGGTGAGATCTTCGCTATTTAAACTGACCTATGTCCAGCAAAGATGATCAGTGTTTATTTTGGCTAGGATCAAAGATGGAAGTTATCATTTCTAGGCGGTATCAGACATTTCCTCATTCCAACTTCACAATAAGGAATATAGTTGAGATCTGTGTTATATTAACTGACCTATGTCCAGTAAAGATGGTCAGTGTTTATTGATATAATGTAGAGTATGTAAGGTGATAAGATATCTGTATATATATAATATAAGCTGTGTATATAAAACAAGGGAACACGCGGCCTTCATGCCGACTACAGTACATGCTGTTATTTTGACATTTCTATTTTAAGTCATTTAGATGTAAATCGTGAAAAGATATGGCAATTTAATCCCTCGTGTTTAGCGCCACGCCCCAATATAGAATTGGGATTGTCTTTAAGCAAACGCATCTGAGATAAAATGGCCAATTCTAATATAAATGTTAAAATTCTGCTTTAAGGAAAGGTGTGGGTTGTGGCCAGTTGTGACATCTAGTGTTATTCATCAGAAAGTGAAAGAAAGATCGCTGAATGACTCACGTGGTTGTAAGAGAAGATCCATTTTAGACATTGAGATATATGCACGATCTTGAGTTTCCCAAGAAGCCCCGCAACTAGGAATAATTCCTATTTTAAATGGGGGATTTATTTTAGTACGACCTCTCTGAAATTGCACTAAATATCAAAATTCCAAATAAAATCTAAATCTTAAAGAAGGATTTATCTTACAGGATCTTAAAAATGCACATCCAACGTTATGCATGGATTCTGTTAAACCTCATTTCATTCATTCATAGATCCTTGGGCCAAGATCCCCTTGTCAGCCATTTTGTAAGGATTTTAAGTTATTATTATTCAAACCTTGTAATAACTGTTCATATGAAAACACTTCTCCTTGTTTCTTATAAACATCTAAAACATCTTGTTTTAATAGAGCACCTTCATCAACAACTTTAGAATTAAGTCTATAAAAATGCTTATGTTGGTTATAAGCTTTATCTAACATTGCTCTAGAACCAGCGTTAAAATCTTTTCTATCAAAAAACTCCTCCTGATCGTCAATGACGGGACGAATCATAGAGTCTGATTTATATTTAGTTGGTTGTTGTGTATTAGGTGATTTCTGGGCGGTATATGTAGCGTTGAGTAATAAAGGGGTAGTTGGTTGCTGTGATTGTGATGTGTTGGAAGACGTTACCTGAAAAAAAAAAAAAAAAAAAAAAATAAAACATAACTTTTACATTTTATATTATTTTCGTTAATGAATTCAGAATAATCGCTTTAACGTACGAGATATGGAAGAAATGATTCTTCAAAAATCCTTTTTATCTGAAAAGTTCTTAAAATGTCATGAAACCTGCACCAAAAGACTCCATAATCTGTTCACCATTAACATTACCCCTTATTGCACTTTTAATCTAGACGAACACAAAATTGAACCAATCGGGATAATAAAGACGAACATTCCTAGCGCGTTGTGCTATGCGGGGAATTGTGCCCTGGCAGCGGCTCCACGAATTACTCTTATTCCGATTTCCAAATGATTCTTTAAAAATCCTTTTTATCTGAAAAGTTCTTAAAATGTCATGAAACCTGCACCAAAAGACTCCATAATCTGTTCACCATTAACATTACCCCTTATTGCACTTTTAATCTAGACGAACACAAAATTGAACCAATCGGGATAATAAAGACGAACATTCCTAGCGCGTTGTGCTATGCGGGGAATTGTGCCCTGGCAGCGGCTCCACGAATTACTCTTATTCCGATTTCCAATTGTCAGAGGATCTTAAACATGCTGTCAGTGGAACCTTTAGTTATTTCCAACTGTTAGGAGATTTAAAATGCTGACAGTGATATGAACTCTATAGTTATTTCTGTTACCATTCGAAGGACTAGACGTTTTACTTGACCATGCCACCCACCGTGTGCCACTGAAGGTTGGAATTAAAAAAAACCTATCCCAGCCGACACCGGGATCGAGAAAAAAACCAAACCCAACCGCAACCCCCAACAGATTTGTAGTACAGTCAAAATCTAACAACGATAAAGGTCACTATGATTATTTATACATGCAAATAGTTCTAAATATTGATTGACCCAAATACATGGTATTTGCCATAATATCACCATATACTTGTACAGGAATAATACTAAATGCAAAGTACAACAGATTTTTTTTAACTATGTGAACTTCTCAAAATCAAGAGATAACATAGGGTGGTCTCAAGAACAATACCTAATAAGCATATTCTGTCAAACAGCTCAACAGAACATAGAGGAAACAGTACAAGAATAGCATTCTAGCACCTCGTACAATAGGAAGAATGAGTGGTTTTTAAAGCACGACGGTTTTATTGTTATGTATAAGTTATCTGTTCTATTAAGTTTATTCTGTGGAACTGCTCCACAAAAAAAATAGAGGAAAGATAGAAGAATAACAGGCTAGAGCCTCGTATAGTATGAACAAATAGCGGCATTGAAAGCAGGGCGGTTTTATTGTTATTTATAAGGAATCTGTTTTTTTTATTATTATTATCTATAAAGATTCTGTTTTTTTATTATTATCTATAAAGAATCTGGTGTATAATAAAATTTCTTTCTATTTAATACTACACCCATAGAATCGTCATAGCGACTAGACAGACTGGTTTCTTTACGTGGATATTTGTCTGTCAGTAATGTATTTACAGCTAACAACATACATATATATAAAGATTTTTTTATTAAGTGATATGTCATAGCCATGTGCATGTAACGAACGTGCAGACTGCTACGATAATTAATTACTTGTATTTCTTTCGCTAGCAGCACAATCTGATTATCTTTCCTAGTCAAAAGGCTAATTTGTCGGAGAAAATCTAGCCTAAAACTGGCAAATCTTTTGTAACATTAGAGTTCTTACTTGTTTAGACAAATCACGTTTTGGCAACCAACTTACACAAGTATCTAGACTTTATTGATATAACTGGGAAATATTATGAAAAGAAACACAATTTTGTCACATGTTGAGTAAAATGGAAGCCTTTTAGATACGAAATAATGAGTAAAGTCCAGGGAATGCATGACTTTTGCCACGATGCTCCACCTAGAAGCCTATCACATATCACAAGAAATCTAATAGATGTAGATTTTATGGTAGGTCAGTCCTTAAGTTGTTTTGCCCTAGAGGAATGACATGGGATATTTTTGATGTCTTCATTTCAAACAGTGACCTCATCGAACATTCCTACTGATGAAATGCAAAAACAACTTAATCTTTCAATCTAGTTGTCCGAACGGTCACACGCCCAGCTTAAATTAATGTCTAACAAAAGTTCTCTTCAGTCATTAATACTTTGTTTTGTTTCATTTTCGTTTCGTTTTAAGGTCACACAAAATTAATGTCTAATAAATGTTCTCTTCGGTCGTCAATACTTTGTTTTGTTTCATTTTTGTTTCGTTTTAAGGTCACACAAAACTTAATAACACTAAGAGAAAAATACAAAAACCGACCAAGAAAGACTGATCAATTGATGTTATTAATACACTAGGGATTGAGGGTCAGGCTAAGGTTCCCTTTGTGTGATTCAACAGTGATATCTTAATCCTAGGAGTAAATAACCAAGAAACCAAATTTGGTTTCCCACTGACTGGAAACAAAATGTTCTCTAAATTACCTGTTGATATTGTTTACATGTGAGAGTATAATTCTATCTCTGTGTTCAGATGTATTCCCATGGTAGCGGTGACTCTACAGATATCCCGGACGCAATCTAACAATTCGTTATATATATCAAGATCGAATACGGACCATAATCCTTATATAGAAGAGGCTAAACCAACACAGAACTCACATAAACCAGGGGCTGGGTGTCAAGAAGTGGCTGTCTTTCGGTTTGAGTCATGGATTGGAATCCAGGGACGCAATAAGCTGAGGTTAGTCTTCGTGTATTTACAGGCGTGGTTCTCACATTTCAGTTAAAGGACGATTTTCGCCATGACATCACTATGTGTATATCAGTTCGTTCGAGTTGTGCGAAACCCAGGAATCGTAAAGATGTTCTACCAAAAGGGTTTAGGGGTTTATAACAACGATAAAATCTTTGATTAACCTAATCAAAAATCAAATTAACATAAATGCATATATCTCCATTTCCGATAATTACTATTATCTTTTATTTAATAACTTCTTCTTTGCAGTGACATCCGTGACATCAGTGCCATTGCACTGTTTGTGAAAGAAAAATAAATTATCTAATTTACAAATTGTTCGACCTTGAATTAACTTTTAATTTTCACCGAAAACAGCGGTAGATTAAAACTATATGATGGATAGACTTGTTTCGTTTATCTGATAGATGTATTAATGGCACGGTGCCAACACCAAACATCAAATGTTAGAGAGAAATGGAACTATGCAGGTTAGAATGCCCTGCTGTTAAAGGCACTGTTTCTGCAGTGGTTCCACGTTCATATACATTCTATAGAACAAAAACACATATGTTATAAAAGGAATTTACGTTATTTACGAAAAGAATGCTGCTCTCTGTATTTTATTTACCAATTTCAAGGGTATTCGACTTGTTTAATCATTGCTTTAGCGGAATTGTGGAATAAAAGGCATGTTCTTGCATGTACCAGATTTACAAATATAAATTTAACTTTTACATTTCTTCTGCTTCGATGTATACATCTTAAACAATTTACTTCGTGACGTTATCTGTCGGTTCAAGCCCATCAATATCAACGGTGGCTTACTGTCACTCAAAATCAACCATCTGAATAAATTTGACCAGATCCGCCGGTAGAACCCACCGCTACGCAAAAGGAACAGTCCTGACCATGGTGTGATATATAGCGAGAACTTAATTTATAAACGGAACGAAAATAAAACAAATCATCAGTAATAAATATATAAGAGCTGCATACAGTACACTACAAAAACGGAAATCCCAAGCATTATTTTTTATTTTTTTAAAAAAAAAGAAGTATGTGTGATTGATGGCTTTAATAGAACAGATTGGGAATTTTAACAAATTTAGCTGGAGATCAACAAATACTACAGGTTATCATATCTTAAAACGATCGATTTGAATAATATTTAGACAGATTTATTCTTTTGTTAATCTATCTGACTTTTATTCGGGCATGTCATCTTTTAATTAAACTTTTAAAAACAAGATATCAATCTAATAATAAATGAAATGTGAAACATCAAGAAACGCCGTTTGCTGTTAAAATCGATGGATTTAATAGGATAAACCTTTCAAAGAAGTTATCAACAACGTGGCATATAGCAGTCAGAGTGACACACAGCAAATCTATCAGTTCCGTTTCAAAGGCACGTAAAAAGCATTTCATGATAATGACAACAGGAGGCTAATAAATGTATAATAGAATCATGTTCATGTAACTTGCAATCGACAGTGATAAACAGAATTCCGAGCGGCGTCATTAACAGCACTAAATCAGGAATCGAGCAATCAAAGGAAAGAACAATCCAGAAATAGTCAATCGCTGGTACAGTCAAGTAAAGTAGGACAATACAGTAGGGGGACATTAAGAACTGGGTGATCTTAAAATACCAGAAAGTGATCAACAGGATATGTTAAAGAATTTAAAGATCGTGTTTACCACAGCACAACTATTTTGAGAAGACCACCCTATATCCTCCATGGCCAATCAAGATATGAAACATACTGTATGTTGCCCACGTGTGTTAACTACAAATATATATACAAGCAAAACATCCTCAATACACTGAACATATAACACATGGCTTAATCATGGTTAATAAGACAAATAATAGATTGGTATAAAATACACTTTGTCCTGTCGTTCTGGGGCCTGTTTCACAAAATTTTAACTCCGATAAAATCCAAATTTTAGTAATTTGATTGGATAATATTAGACTGATTTTAGTTCTTAGCCAATCAAAACTGACGTATCTGCTAAAATTTAGATTTTATCTTTAGTTAAGATTTCGAGAAACAGGGCCCTGTTTCCCAGACCATTATCCCATTCCTTCCTACCTAACGCTAATCCTTTAAGTTGTTGTGGACTTTTTTGCTTATAAATCGAATTTAACTTTTGGCTTTTAGAAAGTGTAATATTATAATTAAGTGAAATCGACAATTTTACCTTAATATTGTTAGTTTATTTAGTGGGGTGGCAATATGTCTCTGTGTAAAAATATAGCTCAGTAGATAAAATCAG